CGATCGTCGCCGCGGCGAAGGATGTCGCAATGGCCGAGGCAACAGGTTTCGGAGTGCTGGGATCTGAAGAAGAAGTTTGAGGACACAGCAACCTCGACGATGTCCCCTTCTGGGGCATCCACTAACAATTAGCAGGATACCGGCTGGATCAAAGGTGCCTGCTAACTCATCTTTCGCTCTCAGCATCGAAGGATTAAATTTGTCATTTGGAAGGTGTGACGGACGAGGGAATGTGTGAGGAGCACATTGACTGGGTCCAATATGGAGGAATCATCTGGTATTTTGGAGATTTGATTTTCTCGATTTTTCGTTTCTCTTTAATCAGCTGCACTTTTGGTAGCAATTCACGAGGTTAGAACGAGTTAGGCTGTAGGAAAGATTACAGGGAACCCTGCCGGCTCCGCCTGTCCTTGACCCAATGTGGAAAACATAGCTTTAGCTTAGGACAAAATAAACAAAACTAGACTTTACGGCCAAGTGTCGGCTATCTTAGTTTTCAAAGACTACCTGACGCGTCAATGCCCCAAAAAGTGGCCAGTTATTTGAAAAAGTGAGGCTCAGCCACAGCTTAGATCCTCAGGAAGTTGTAAGGAGTTTGAAAGATTAACTGCTTCTGCCAGACTTCTAGGTGATACCCTCGCAATCTTGGGTCCTTCAATCCAAACACGTTCAAAGCCTTTATGGCCCAGCATGTCTCCAATCTTTACTCGCAGTTTTTGATTTCGGAATAAGATATTCATAATCAGTAATTCAAGTTTGGCATCCCCCGATAATTCTCCGTCGACAACACTGTTGGAAGAAGGGATCGCATGTCATCTTGTGGCTTTTTCGGCATTAAATAGAGACTTTAAAAATTGCTTTATATAGCGAGGAGAAGCGCGATAACCAGCTTAATCTGATATCGGCTTGAATGGTTTTGATAATATTCTAACTGATTAATGTAGTCGAGAAATCTCTGCAATCCAGGGATTCCGTCCAAAATTAGCCCAGCGCAGCTTCTCACGAGAATCTCAGGCAGGAAAATATCGATTCGACCGTTAAGGGATGGCTGAATCTTGTCTCTGGGAGAATATGTCACTCCCAAGTTCTTTTTTTTATTTATTTTTTTGCATCAGATTTTAATTGCGTATGCAGCTATCTAGCTATGACACAATATCAAAGAAAAGTACAGAAAAGATGATTCAGCTGAAAGGAAGAGCACTCATGCCTCGGATTTCATTTGCAAGTACCACTGCGGAGCTACGGCGGCTTTTTCTTAACCCCAAGTCAACCCTCATCCGTGAATACCCACCCAGGGGAACATCTCAAAAACCCTGAGTTATCCAGACATGCCTCCATCATCTTTCAACTTTCCTCCGCGCGAAATGTGGTCTGAGGCGTCTCCTTCCCAATTGGAGTATGTGCCCAGCCCACTCAGACTATACCGGAGAACACCGCCAGGAGGCGGACCATAACACCTTCCATCGTTTGCTAATTTTTGTAGTATCAGCTGCACTCTCGCAAGCGAAGTCTTGGCGCGCACAAAGCCCAATTTGTAAAACTCTTGCCAAAATTCGGAATTTCATGTCCTTCGAGGTAATATCCTTCTTTCGTATCATCTTGTCAACATGTCCTAATCCCTTTCACGTCCATCCCAAAGAGCTGTCTCCCAGATTTGTGCGTCAGGCTTTGCTTCCTCCATCGGGTGTAAATATCGGCGTGTGCGTGTACTTGGTGGTCAACTGAGACTAGAGAAGGTCGAAGAGAGGTGTGGTCATTGGGATGAGGATGTACTTGGTCGTACTTGTAGGCTTGATGAGACTTAGGTAGGAGTCAAACTCGTTGGGAGCGAAAAAACGACGTGGAGGAGTAATCTGGATTTTTGCCTCGTGGGCCAACTTCTTTGATATTGCGAAATTTGACTGAACTTGGCTCTGGGAGAATATTCCACTCCCAAGTTCGAAGAAACATCACTGACAGGTGTTCAAACTTTGTCCTCCATTGATTGAAGAAAGGATGTACGCGCTCATAATCTGATTGCATTCTATTACGTAAAGTAAACTGCTTCTTAGCCGGCAAAGACGAGTTCTTCACCATCCAGTGGTGCCGGTGTAATCGCTCAGTATGCTCTGCATATCTGGGATAGCCAAGAAAAATCGCATCCGAATCGAAGTCGAAAGCAACCTCAAACACATCTCCATTTGACGACTTCTCGGCAATGCCTCTCTCATCATTATCATCTGAGTCCTCAACCCATCTCTAACCATGCATCATCTCGCGTCAACGACCAATAAAGAAGTTGCTCCAATTGCATACAGGAGCTTGCCCCATTAATCTCCAGCCATCTCTCACTACATATTTACGACGCTATTTACACCCGCAAGGAGGAAATCAAGTCGACAAATACAAAGCCTGGGTCATGGCTTATAGGGGACTGTTGCTCTAATGGGACAAACAACTTGAGGAAGAACAGGCGCCTGAGATGTGGAGCGAGAGGGGGAATAGGTATCTGAAGAGGATGCTGGGACGGACACTTTCGAGGGTTTTTCAACTCTGAATTTTTTGTGGGCGCCAAGACTTAGATTTCGGCTAATTAGCCAGGAGGGCTTCTATTGTCGATGAGTCAACGGCACAAAAGAAGCTAGGCTAAGCTACTATACAGCAATCACGCTCTGTCAAGACTTTTCTGAAATTTCACCACGACCTTCGGGAAGGAGTTGGAAGGAGGCTAGAAAGGCAGAGCGTGAATTCTCCGAGGTACCCACCAGTCTGCAGCGCCCAGCTTGCCGGCCTCTTCGAACGCTTCAGAAGGGGCACTATGTCTTCGGATTTAGTCCTAACGTCGGTATTAGAAGAGCTCCGCACCCAGTGGTTTTTGCAATTTTTCCCGGATGCCATACACCCGCAAATGGCCATCGTTTCGTTGGCTGGAGAGGGGAGATAATGAAGGGCAAAGGGCTCCTCTTAGTGTATGATCGAATGAGGACTTGTGAGGTGTGGTACTGTTTGAGGGGAGCTGTATGGGGGGCATAGGAGAGGATATACTACTGGTATAGGTATCCTTGGCCTGTAGACAGAGAGGACCTGCATATCCTACAAAGTCATAGACTCAGAAAGGACAATAAAATTAATTAAAAAAAAAACTGCTTCTCAGATAGAGCTAGATAGATCATGGCCTGATACGGTAGTGTATCTGTGCTGCGTCCCGCAGCGGGATCAAATATAGCCTGTATAAAACGTTGAGCTTGGGTTTAGCTAGTTAGAACATCGGATTGTTACAGAAAAATGTAGACGATGGATAGAATGCAGCTACGCGTGGACGAAGGTGTCCGACAGGATGGCCGATATGCAGAACGGCGATCGATTTGACAAAATAGATACAAGGGCATGGGCTGCAGGGGTTGGCAGGCCAGTTTTGCAATAGTGAACCACGGAACATAGTAAATACGGATTTGGGTCAGAGTTCGTAATTGAGAGTTTGCACGGTAAGCCAGGATGTAGTCGTTACGAAATATTTCCGAATCCGAGACGAAATGCAGACGCAGACCTTCCGCCATCAAGGAAAGCCAGATCGACAGGAAATAGGCAGCTTTGCTCTAGTGGATACCCGAGGCATAGATTGCAATGTAAAGGCAAAAAGATGTCCCAAGTGACGCTTCTGGTGGAGGAGCTCGCTGTGAGCTGACTGTGGACCCATCATGATCAAATCTTCTACCCAGCCAATAGGCCCACCAAGACAAGTAACAACATGGAGGATGACGGAAATTACTTTGACTGGACTAGCACGCTCCCAAGCTGACGATGTGGACTTCAGATATCTAGAACTAAGCGAGAGGCTTTATGTTCCTGGACGCCTCGAAATTTTTTGGCCGAGTGGTCTGCGCTGGCCTCTGGGCGCCGAGCGCTGCTGAGCAAGGATAGCCAATTTTAGATATGTCTTCCATGAAGCTTCAAGGGCTGCTGCTTGACAGCGTGTGGAGCCGAGAGGGACCAGGGTATAGTAGATAGCTTGCGACATCCCCCCCCCTGATCTGACACCCGCCGTCACTACGGCGCCCCGATCCGGGGATACGGCGAGTCCGATCTCTGGCGCGTTTCAATTAACCCCTCTTATTCTATCCATCGTCTTATTCGCGCATGCGGCTCGTCCGGCGCGCTGCATGTAGGTGAAAAGATCACCACTACGTTCTTCTTAGCCCTGGCTAAATGGACAGGTGGGGTTTGATGCACTCTTACTACTTGATTTACTCCGACTTTCGCAAGTGTGTGACGCTATCACGCCTGGTCGCTTCGCGATAATATCTAAACCAAATAGTCACAAAGAAAATTAGTTTCCTGCCTCCAACGTTTTCATATTTTTCGGCCTTTGGCCCAGCTTTCGTCGAGCGGTGCACTTGAATTTGCCGCGTAAATTTCACCACACACAGTACTTAAAGCTGGCAGCTCTCGAGTCCGTCCAGATGGCGCTCCCGTCGGCCGAATTGGGAGTCGGGGGAAATCCTCTAGGTCTTTCGGTCGATCTCTCACCTCACCTTTTCGCCCATACTCCGTCTCAACCACCTTGCATCGCCCCGTCTGCCTTTACCCGCCGTTCGGCGGTTGAACAGGTGGGTCAGTGTGTATGTAGCTGTGGCAAGTATCACCAGCCACTGCCCTGGCCCTCGAAAGAGGCAATTGGGGTCCTCGCTGTCATAATTTGCCTGCGCTACCCCAAGTCAGGCCATATGAACTTCTTGCGCCCTGTAACTGGAGTAGCTGACCCCGCCCGGCCCTTTCCTTTGACAGTTTCCTATTGCCCCTCTCTCGGCCCCTACCTCAATCCTCCATCTCGCGTCGTGATCAAGGAAAAGAGGAATTAGAAGAAGCTTATCAATTCATTCAGATTCCTGCTAATATAGTCTAGCTGAGTCTAGTATAGTGCAGCGTGAATTTATATTTCACTCTCTTCATTTCTAAAATCCATCTCATTCTTCTATCCCGTCCGCCTTTCTCCAACCAATAACAGAATCTCTCGACCTATTATGGGCATCTTTGAAGCTCAAATTCGTGGTAAGTCCAGTACTATCGGTCTCTATAACACTGCCTTATCCTGCAGTATCTGGCCCTGGAGGGCAATAACTATCAAATACTATCCAATTCATTATTCTGGAGCTTCGAGTCCTGGGTGATCAAATACCTTGATCCCCTCAAGAACAAACCCAGGACCGGATGATCTGGCATATTGCCTCCTGATACTACCCTACTACAACTGCATTGGCCGGTCGACCCATTATATTTATCTCCATATTGTGACCAAACGCAGCAATAATCGTGCCTTCAAGTGCTAACCGTTACAGATTCGGCATATTCTCTCGCGCTTTCACCAATGGCCGCGTCACCTGTCGTAGCTGCTCATACACACAATGGCATTGAGAAATATTGTAAGTGAAGAGATTACCTCGTGCTTTGATATTAGGTATCTTATTGGACTTGTCAACTAACTCTTCTATGAGATCCCGACAAGGGAATACTAGCCAGTAAGACTTACAATTCCCGCATGAAAACTATATTCCTTTGAAAAAAAAAGCGAGTCTAACCTGTATTAGAACATCCAAGCAAGCCTCACTTAAGTGGTAAGTAGTCTTGTAACGTTTCAAGCATGTCACCTACAGTAACTAACTAGAATGGAAAAGGCATGGATGAATACGAGAAATTATACCAAGAGTCTATTACTAAGCCAGACCAATTTTGGGGAGGACTAGCAAGAGAACTGCTCACATGGCAAAGGGACTTTCAAACTGTCCTCTCGGGCAACTTAATCCACGGTGACATTGCCTGGTTTCTAGAGGGCCAACTGAACGCGTCTTATAACTGCATAGACCGTCACGCCTTTCGAGATCCTGAAAAATTGGCGATTATTTACGAGGCCGATAGTATAGAAGAGAGTCGTACCGTTACCTATGGTGAACTTTTACGAGAGGTTTGTAGACTTGCCCATGTTTTAAAACAAATGGGCGTGCAGAAGGGCCATGTGGTAACTATCTATCTTCCTATGATACCCGAAGCACTTATTGCAATCCTGGCTTGTTCCCGAATTGGTGCTATTCACTTGGTAATTTTTGCCGGCTTTCACTCCGATTCTATCCGTGACCGTGTGGTCGATGCCGAGTCAAAAGTTCTGATAACTGTTGATGAAGGTAAGCGAGGAGGAAAATCAATCAAAATGAAAGAAATAGTGGATGAAGCTCTCCGGCAATGTCCTAATGTATCTCACTGTTTGGTTTTTCAGCACACCGGTTCTAGAATCTCCTGGACCGAGGGCAGGGATCTCTGGTGGCATGAAGAAGTTGTGAGATGGCCATCGTACATCGCGCCCGAAGTCATGAATTCCGAAGACCCTTTATTTCTACTCTACACCTCAGGATCAACCGGGAAGCCTAAGGGTCTACTGCACACGACTGCAGGATATCTTGTAGGAGCTGCAGCCACTGGAAAATACGTTTTTGATATCCACGAGTCAGACAGGTTCTTTTGTGCCGGTGATATCGGATGGATCACGGGACACACATATGTTGTCTATGCTCCACTGCTGCTCGGGGTTGCGACCGTAGTCTACGAGGGAACACCGGCATATCCCACCTTCTCAAGGTACTGGGAGTTGATTGAAAAGCATCATATCACCCAGCTATACGTGGCCCCTACAGCTTTAAGGCTATTAAAACGAGCAGGCGACCATCATATCCAGGCAGATATGAAATACCTACGGGTTCTCGGCTCGGTTGGTGAGCCAATTGCGCCTGAGATCTGGAAATGGTACTATGAAATTATTGGGAAAAAAGAGGCACACATTATTGATGTCAGTAAATCGTTTGTTAAATTAAGGGATGAAAACTCACGTATATAGACATACTGGCAAACTGAGACCGGCTCTCACGTTATCGCACCCCTTGCAGGCATTACCCCGACAAAACCGGGCTCGGCATCCCTACCTTTTTTTGGCATCATACCGGCAATAATCGATCCTCTTACTGGGAAAGAATTACATGGCAATAATGTGGAGGGTGTTTTAGCTCTAAAACAGCCATGGCCAAGCATGGCTCGTACAATATGGGGTACACATGAAAGATACTTGAATACGTATCTAAAAATTTACGAGGGATACTATGTAAGTAATCTTATCCCAAGTCTGAGTAGCCACTGACTTGCATTAGTTTACTGGTGATGGTGCAAGAAGAGATGATGAGGGATACTACTGGATTGGTGGTAGAGTAGATGATGTTATCAATGTTTCGGGTCACCGTCTTTCTACTGCCGAAATAGAGGCTTGTCTAATTGAGCACCAAGCCGTTGCCGAAGTTGCAGTTGTTGGTGTCGACGATGACCTTACTGGTCAGGCCATTAACGCTTGCATCTCTATTAAGAATGGTACTATGCCTACGATACAGCTTAAAAAAGAAATTATCCTTCACGTACGAAAGAGCATCGGCCCATTCGCATCTCCCAAAGTAATACATTTTCTTCCAGATCTACCTAAAACAAGGAGTGGGAAAATAATGCGTCGTGTCTTAAGGAAAATTCTTGCGGGGAAGGAGGATCAGCTAGGCGATATATCTACGGTATGCTATCAATCTTTATCTCGCATAGATCTACCCTTACACAAGTTCCAAAAATAGACTAACTTACTTTACAGCTTTCTGATCCTGGTCTTGTAAATGTAATCATCAGTAATATTCGAGGTTCAAATGGCGTATTAGCAGTCAAATAGCGCAAGTACGAAATTAGGCCAGTTGTTTAGTTACACGCTTGAGTGAACACGGCACAGTTGGTGTTGGGATATAATAATTTAATTGAAGCGCAGGACGGGGTTGAAATATCATGGGTGAATTTAATACCAAAAGATTTTAATTAAATTTCACCTCTTATAGTTGGTCATCTACGGCGGTTATGGATTGAAGATTGGCCTGGTTGATCCTAAGAAACGTCTAAATAATTTGTAATAACATTATAAATTACTATTGGGCAGGACCTGATACATATAACTTAATTTCTAGTTAACTTCAATTTTTGAAATAATTAGAATCGGAATAATCAGTAATATCCCACAATTTATCTTGCTTATTTTGCAGGCGACCTCTAGTCATTGTGACTAAATCAAAAAGCGCACCGAGTCTCAGTCGAATGCTTGTTTACAGTCCGATTGACCTACGGACTCAAAGCAATCGTTGCGGTTATATTTCTTGATTAGTCGGACCATAGGAGCGACCAAATCCTTCGGGCCGATGCCGTTTAACCTCGTGGCTTGATACCGCCAAGATGGCTATCCATCTTGATACTCAACAAGCTCACCATAGATGGCTAAAACTCATTAACAATAAGACTGGCCTACACAACCTTGTTACCTAACTAGATGGGCTTGCAAAATGCCATAGGATAGTCGGGGATCCTAAAGTCTCCTGGATGAACTATTGGTACTGTCACAGAACTGTAGATCTGATTTCTATAGATGTCCACAAAGCTTGGATAGCTATCCGACCTAAGAAAAATATGTTTGACCCACTTCTGAAATATCTTTGGCAATCGTCGGGCTTGGGATAAATTGGGGAAGGTCTTGTTGGGATTTACAAAAAGGCAATCTCAATTCTAGCCAGGATGGCTTCTAATCTGATTAATTCTAAGGCATTCATCGCTATCCGAGAAGAAAAAATACATCTGGGACAGGTTTTTATAAAGCGGATAGTTTATGCGCATAATTTTCAGACATTTCTACATAACCTCCAAATAGGCCAGAAGTGCAAACCTGGGGAAAATTAACTAGAGGGACGTTGAGACAGAGAAGGACTCTAACGAGTACGCACAAGTCTGCAGCGCTGGATTGGCCCACTTCTCCGAACTTCTAGGAAGGGTAACCATGTCATCAGAATTGGTCTTAATTTCGGTGTTATAAGAGGCCCCGACTTGGTGGTTCCTGTGAATTTTCCTAGCTGCCATACTCTACAATTTAGCATTTAATTCGATTCTTGGCATTGGAAGATAATGAGGATAGAAAGTACTATTGAGTGGATATTCGGTCAGACATTGGTGCGGAGTGGTATTATTGGAAGAGGTTGGCAAAGGATACTTGGAAAGGATTTGCGACTCTCGGCACAGGCATCTCTGGCCTCAAGGAAAAAAGATCTACATATAGTATGTAATCTTGTACATGGAGAGAACGAATGAACGAAATACAGGTAAAAAGACAAACCCAAAATCTCGAAGTTTGTGGCAAGCATTATCAGACTAGGATCATGCGCCAAGGCCTCTACTGCGAGAGTGCTGGCAGCACTATAAAAATGGTCTTGGCTGGATGGTGTAGTAATACATCAACTAGTTCGCTCTCTCAAGTAGATTCTAGATAGCTTAGACACTGATGTCATTCGAGACAGGAGAAAACTGCTTTGGATCTAGCAAGACTTAATTGCGTTTCTCGCAGTGCCCCGGTGCTTGGGTAAGCAGTGATCTTGAAGCTCCTTTCCGGTAGGTACTCACGAGCGATGTTCGACTTTTCCACGTAAACAAATAGACCTCAGGGGATATTTGCGAATGAAATTCAGAATATGAGTATCCTTTAGGTGAAAGTATCATCTAATATGTACTAGAAGTACATGTCACTCGTCACAGCTAGAATCCTGCATACACATTAAATGGTTTAAAAAATAGCGATGATTGTTAAAGCTGTCTTTGCGCCGGCCCCCGCTGTCAAAAATGGAGCACTTAAAGATCTCTGTAGCTTGCAAGGGCACTAGACCCTGACAACATGACTAGGAATCCTAGATAGTCTAGTCTACCGGGAACATTGATCATCCATGCACAGTTATCCCTATGTTCAATCAAGTGGGGAAGTGTTTGGCTTCGTCCATATCGTGCTCTGTGCGTTGAAGGCTCGACGGTTTCAGCTTGGTCCGGCATGGGTGAGGCTCTTGTCCACCTGGCCGGCTAAGACGAATTCTTCACCCTCCATTGGTGTCGGTGTAATCGTTCAGTATACTCTAAATATCTGGGATAGCCAAGAAGAATCGCATCCGAATCAGAGTCGAAAGCAAACACAAGCATACCTACTATCAACGTCGGATCTATCATTCTCACGCGAGTCCTCCACCTCAATCTTACAACACCATCTCGCCTCGAATACCGATAATGGCGTTATACCAATTGCAAGCGTGAGCTTGCCGAATCAATTACCAGCCATCTCCCACTACTTCTTACGACGCTGTATACACCTGGAAGAGGTAGAATAAGTTGACAGATAAAAAGCCTGGGTCCTGGCTTGTGGGGGACGGTTGCTCTTACGGAACTTTACCTATTGAGGGAGAATAGACTTTTGGAACGTGGAATGAAAGAAACAAGAAGTCTCTAATGGGCATTTTGGGACTTGAAATTTTCGAGAGGTTTTCGGCTTTGGAAAATTTGTGAGCGCCAAGACTGAGATTCCAGAAAATTAGCCAGGGGAGCTTCTTTTGTTGATGAGTCTACAGTATTCCCCAGTATCCAAGACGAAACAAAAGAAATTGGACTAAGCTACAATACAGGAATCACGCCTTGTCAAGACTTTTGTGACATTTCAACACGACCTTTGGGAAAGAGTTGGAAGGGGGCTAGAAAGGCAGAATGTGAATTTCCCGGAGTATACACAAGTCTGCAGCGTCCGGCTGGCCGGCCTTTTCGAACGCTGTAGAAGGATCACTATGTGTGACGGCTGTTAAGCCTAAAGATTCCTGTAGCCTACGCTGGCTAGCGCAGGCAATAAAGGCAAGGGAATCTTCGGGAAGGAACTCGGGATACAAAGAGCTTAGAAAATTCTCAATGAACCTTCTGGAAGCACACTGAAGGTTCATGAGGACGACTGGTGTCTCAAGAATCTTCTAGGGAATTGTACAAGAGTCCGCATTATTCTAGTCATAGGGAGAACCTTACAGAAGAGGAGTATCTTAGAGTATTCACATATATTTTTAGTCTAGCTGTAGGTATTCTCCCTCCAGAGAATTATCATTAACATACTGTATTTACAAGATTTCTCATGCATTTTGTACGGAAACCGTGACACTATGTCTTCAGATTTAGTCCTAATGTCGGTATTAGGAGAGCTCCGCACCCATTGGCTTTTTGCGATTTTTCCTGGCTGCCATATACCCGCAAATGGCCATCGTTTCGTAGGCTAGAGAGCGGAGACAATGAAGGGCGAAGGGCTCCTCTAAGTGTATGATCGAATGAGGACTTGTGAGGGATGGTACTGTTTGAGGGGAGCTGTATGGGAGGCATCGGAGAGGATATACTACTGGTATAGGTATCCTTGGCCTGTAGGCAGAAAGGACCTGCATGTCCTACATCGTCACAGACTGAGGATGGACAATAAGATTAATAAATCTCTAGTGCCTGAGATTAGCGAAAATGTGATGTGTGGTTACCACAGAGATGCCAGATGGTGTAGTGGTTACGCGGTGTCTCGTAGTTCCTGACTACGACTTGGGTGTGGTAGAGTTTGGCACTAAATGCGAAACCTGTCCTATTCAAAGAGACATATCCAATGATTAGGTACACCACCAAACTCTCTCCGAAATTTTACACACCATGGGCTTTATCCTTGAATACTTTTTACTTCTTTCATGCGTTATGGAAGCCGGCGCCGGTTCCCCAGCAGATGACTCCGTATTAATTATCTCGGCATAGAACTAATGTGCCTCCCTTGCTACTTCCCTAGACGACCGGGATCCTTGGAATCCACATAGGGTCTGTCTGAATGGCGCCCATCGTCTGCAGACCTATTCAGTGCGGGAACTCCCCACTCGCATCCGTGTTGCATTATATATTAACTGCAAATGCAGCTTTCTAGCTATGACACAATAGAAGAAAAACTCACAACACAGATGACTCAATGTAAATGTGGAGCACTCATGCCTCGGATTTCGTTCGCAAGCAACACTGCAAAGTTATGGCGGCTTTTTTCTTAACCACAAGTCGGCCCTCATCTACGAATAGCTAACCAGGGAAGAATTACAAAAACTTCGTCTTGTCCAGACATTTTACGGGCTAGGCCCGGTTGGTTATTGCTGGGCTGTTTAAGGCTATAGGGCTCATCCTTATCTTGTAGGCGCGAGCAAGTACGGAAATCTACCCGCTGTACGGGAGTATTATCAGATCACTTGTAGAGGGCCAGGGGATCTTGAACAGGAATTGTAGTTATAAAAAAGAGCCGTAGCTCCCCCCTTCAAAAATCCTCATAGAAAATGTAAACATTCAATTGTGGCATTGCTTTCGTGCATTGGCCTATAGTCCTAGCCCGTCGCAAGACATGCCCCCGTCATTCTCCGAATTTTCTCGGCGCGAAATGTGGTCTGAGGCGTCTCCTTCCCAAGTGGTGTAGGTGCCTAGCCCGCTCAAACTTTACCGGAGAACACCACTAGGAGACGGACCACGGCGCTTTCCATTGTTGACTTGTGTTTATAGTATCAGCTGCGCTCTCGCAAGCGAAGTCTGAGCGCGCACACACAGCTCAATTCGTAAAACTCTTACCAAAATTCAACATTTCTCACATGTCAAGATTGTATCTATCATTTGCATCATATTGTGAACTTTTCCTGATCACTCTCTCGTCCATCCCAAAGAGCTGTCTCCCAGATTTATGCGCTACACTTTGTTTATTCCTGCGGATATAACTATCGGCGTGTGCGTTTGTTTGGTGATCAGCTGAGGCCTTAGAAATTCGAGGAGAGATTTGGTCATTGGAATGAG